AAGCCTATGCCGAGGGCATGAGCACTCCCATTCTTCAGGCGGCCATCAAGGCGACGCCCAAGGTGGAGGTGGAGCGCATCAACGAGAAGATCGTCAAAGTCAAAACGGAGAAGCTGCACGATCAGCCTTCGGCCACGGCGATGTCCACGACAACGACGACGACGGCAGTCTTCACACGCTCCCGCCAGAATCTGGAGACCATTGTGGAGGCCATACGACATCTGGAGGGGGATCATCTCTTTGACGGCGACCAGCAGCACAAGCTACAACAGCAGTATCAACAGCAGCAGCAGCAGCAGCAGCAGCAAACTCAACAGCAACATCAACAACAGCAACACCAGCAGCAACAGCATCAGCAGCAGCAGCAACATCATACGCAGCAGCAACATCATCAGCAGGATGTACTGCATTCGCATCATCAGATCATTAGCACAGCCGCTGGATATCGTTTGGCGCAGGATGCGCCGTTGGCTCTGACCACGGGCAAACAGCACGCGGCGCTGGCCGAGCTGCGACCCTTCCTGCAGCTGAAGGGCAACAAGCAGGTGATCATCACAACAAAGTCGGCCAAAGATGTTGTGGGCACACCCTCGGGCACCATCTTCAAGGTGCAGACCAGCAGCGGGACAGCAACGGCGTCTGCAACAGGATCCACATCAGCAGCGGGCGGAGCAGCGAACCATCATCATCAGCCGGTGACCATTACAACATCATTAAAGCAATGTCGTCCAGGTGTCATTGTGGCCAAGCAGCTGCCGTCGTCCTGATTGCCTAGCAGCAACACTAGCAACATCAGCAGCAACATCAGCAGCAACAGCAATAGCAACATTAACAGTAACAATGTTCCTCTACACATTGAAGCGTCAGCAAAAGCTCCCGCTAGTATTAAAGGCCTGCGCAATAACATAACAGTAACTGCAGCTCCAACAGCAACAAAGACCGCAGCAACTGTAAAACTTGTAATGCCTAAGCGACGCAACTATGTTAAACCACAACAGCCGCATGTGCAACAACAGTATTGCCTTAACAAAGCTGTCAAGCGTCAATGAATTTAACAGCTGTTGAGCTAACAGAGTTCAAATGTATAGTTATAGCTGTTAAACTGCTGCTAATATAGATCTAGCGCCGTTAAGCTGCTGCTGCTGTTGTATATAGCTGTTCAGATGCTGTTATTAGTAAACAATTGTAAACTAGCTGTTAAGCTCATACAGTTCATGCTGTTAAGTGACTGTTGCTAACATAACAGATAGCTGTTGACACAGTTGCTACTGTTAAGCTGTAGCTTAACAAACTTTAGGCTGCTGTAAAACTAAAAAAAAAAAAAAACATGAAAAAAAGCAAAGAATATAAATATTAAAGGCAATTGTATAAAATTAGTAAAGCAAAAAGAAAAGAAAAGAAAAAAAAAAAAAAAATACCAACAAAAATGCAAAGAGAATTCTGTGCAGTCAAGGCGTAAATTTTTTATTAATTTTTCCATAAGCAAAAACAACAACTACTCACATAGCCACTGTAATAAAAAAAAAGATTTTTTTTTTTTATTTCTATTGTTTAAGTAAATGTGAGAAAAACAACAAACAACAGGCAGTAACAACAAAACAGAGTACAAAAAAATGAAAACAAAACAAAATAGACATAAACAATTTTATGATTTTTTGTTTATTACATCAAACACACATACATACAAACATGCAAACACTTAAAAAATACAGCAAATTAAGCAAAAATAAAAAAAAAAAGTATTTAATAAGCAAAAATTGAAAAATATATATACATAAAATTATATATAAATATGTAACATGCTATATAAAAATACAAGTATATATATGTATATACAAATACTATATACATATATATATTCTATATAATGAGCATGCTGAACTCTATAAACACCATCGCATTAATTTTTACTTTTTTAAATTATTTTCTATTATTTAATTAATTTTTAATTTACATAAACACACATACATATATATGCATATATCAATATATAACAAGTTTATTGTATTTTTCCTTTTGCCCATACAAATATTTAAGAATATGAGAATCGAAAAATTTTGGAATGGATCTTATTGAGTTTTTTGTTGTTTGTATAATCTAATTATAAGAGAGGAGAGAATCGTTTATTATATAAACTACACACATACATATAAAAATAAAAAAAAAAATATATATATGAGTATATGCATACATATACATATATATGTATATAAACTTTATATACGACATAAGCTAACGCAACATTACATAATATTATTACTAAATACGATAACATTAAACATAAACCATTATATATATACATATATATAAATAAATCCATAAATACACACACATACATGCATGCATACATATAGCTGTATGTAGTACATATGTACAACAAATTGCATACAAATACAAAACGAATAAATAAATATGCTTTAGTACATAAGTGCAAGCAGCAGAGTAGAAGAGTTGAAGAATATAAAAGAGAGGCCGCTATGTAACTGCAGCTCATCAGAGAAGCAAGGAAGGAAATAAAAAGAAGACGGAATGCCCCATGTTTGTGTGAGCACGTGTCGGTGTGTGCGTGAGCTTAGACGAGCAAAATGGAGAGAGTGTAGACTGCCTGCAGCTCTCTGCTAAGCCGCTGGAACGCTGCGCGCTGGCAGAGCAGTCAGCTTTTGTCTGGCCACCCATAAGACACCAAGTGTTGCGGTGAAGCCGAAGACAGCAGCTGCCGCAGCAGCAGCGCAGCGTAGCAACGGCTTTGGCCACCTACTACCAACACCACGAACACCACCACCCACAACGGAGAGAGAGTTTGAGAATGATGGAGAGCGGCGCTCCACCCATACACATACAATACGAAAACACACACACACACGACGCGCACACGCAGACACACATGCTTGCACATGCATCGGGCATTGGTTTGTGAATGAGGAGCGCAGCGAACAGATTTACAGCTAAACAACAACAGCAAGAAACACATTGTTTATGCATTATATAAGCCAGATCATACATACAAACATATTACTACGTACATTCATGCTCTATATAAACAACAAACAAAATACATTAAATAATTAAAAAAACAAAAACAAAAAAATACGAAAAAAAAAAAATTATGTCAAATAAATGGTTTTTCCTTTTCCCCTCAAAGAAATACATTTGTGATTTTTACTTTGGGAATTTTTTGGGAGGTTATTGGAATATATACATACTATATACATAGTGGAATCATATAAATAATACAGTTTTGAAGTTAATTTTGTACATTTTTATTTACTTGACTTACAGCTTTCTGAAGATTTTTTCGGAGTCATTCCGAATAGCTCCTTATCCTATATTTGATTGACAAGAGTTGAGTTAGTCATTGGGAGTTTTATGAAAACATACGATATCGGATCGATATTATATTCGGACATAGCTAACATGACATATACATATATAGTGGTAGCTCTTATTTATATACTATCTAACAGAGATCTCACTAGCCTTATTTTCGGGTTCACTAAAACTATATGCAAAAGGAATTTTGGAATCCCTTTGCTACAGTTGCTCCTCCTCGATTTGCAGATCTGTGGAGAATACATACATATCCCTGCGTCGAGCGAAGAGCATCTCCTGTCGCTTGGGATGAGTGGCCAGGGAATGAACCACGCCTCCATTGTCACCTTTGTACAGATAAAGATGTTAAATAGAATACACAATTGAACAATAATTAAGATGTTATTTACAAATGCGTATGCGCTGCAAGACCTTCGTCTCGAGCAGATCCCAGATGTAGGCATCGCCGTCGCTGGAGCCGGAGACCAGATGCGCATCGTCGGCTAGGATGCCGCACTCGATGTGATAGTCGGCTGACTGATGACCCTTGTATTCCGACAGCAGCCCGCCCGATTCGCAGTCGAGCAGCCGCAACGTGTTATCCTGGCAGCCAACCAGCAGGCACTGCTCATCCTTCGTCTGCGCCAGATAGGTAATTGGTTGGCCCACCTCGTCGCAGGTGAGCTCGCCCACGCGTATATCATAGTGACGTACACAGCCATCCAAAGAGGAGGCAAAAATTTTATGGTCATTAGTCAGCACAGCTGTTATGCAGTCCTTTGCGTCCTTCATCACTTGGACGGGATCAAGGCGGCGGGTGCGTATGTCCCAGCACATGATGGCATTATCGCGTCCGCCAGATATAGCAATGGAGGAGTCCTCGTTGAAGCAGACGCAGCGTACGCCGCCTGCATGGCTGCGGAGTCTACGTACAGGAGCGCCTGCAAAGCTTTTGTGATACTTATCTTCATTCACTCTCTCTCTGCTCTCTCTTTCTCACCCGTTGCCACATCCCAGTAGATGATGCTCTTATCCAGGCTTGAGGAGACAATGTAGCTGCTATCACAGCTGCCAGCCACATCGGTCACCTCGTCCGCATGGCCTCCGTAGGTCTTCAATAGCAAACCCGAAACAGGATTCCACAATTTGATCTTTTTGTCCGAGCCGCAGCTCAAACAGTAGCTGCCATCCACTGTAAAGCGGGAATAAAGCTAAATACACACAAATCTATATTAAATGGAAGCTTACCATTATAGCGTACTGCGCGCACAGCTCCTTGTTTGCAGTCAATTGTTTTGCTGCAGTTAAAATTGAGGAAAGCCGGCATTTATTTATATCAAGCGAAATGCATACGAATTGAAGATGGTCAATTGTGATGGCATAACTTATAAAGTGACTACTCACGAAGTCAACGATGATCGTAAATAGAGATGGACTTATTGTCAAACACAAGCACAGTCACAATCACTAGCAAGATATCTGATTTTTTTTTAAAGAAGTGCATAGATTTTAGATATTTATGCTTAAAAAATAATTAACAGCGTTTAATTTGATAAACATTTCATGGCAGAGTCACAGTCGCAGTCACGGAAACAGTCACGGAAACAGTCACGGCGGCCAGGTTTGGTGGCAGCACTTTAACAGTGTTGTTAAATGCAAATTGCTGACATAAAATAGCGCTAAAAATGCCAAAGCGCGTCGAACTGACCAAAGCGGAATGCCAACAATAATAAAGCAGCGGCAACAACAAAAAAAAGTCAACGCAACACAGTATTTTTTCGGCAACAAACTAATAAATAAAAACTATTAAAGAAACTAATACAAATAGTGTTAAATCAATATAATAGGATATCATATATAATACGATACAAAGAAACGACGTAAATTCCGCGGCACGTGTGTGGGCGGGGGAGGTGAGGCGCGCTGCTTTGGATGCTACGCAATAATTCAACGCTACGCAATTTCAGCTGCTGCTGACGCTGCGGTCGCTGGCGCTGCCGCTACGCACCTGCTAAACCAGAAGCGCTGCTGCGACCAGCACCGTCGTCACCGTCGCTGCTGACGTGTGCAAACGAGAGCGAAACGACGACAGGATATTTAACAACAACAACAGCAAAAACAGTAACAACTACTGCTCACACTACAACAACAAGAGCAACAAACTGCACGACAAAATTAACGAAGTGTCAGTACAATTGAACGACACAACGTATGCATACACACACACACACACACACACACGAACGCACAGTCGCCCTAGAACAATCAGAAGCGAACGAAGAACACAAATTGCAGCTACAAAAAACAAAATGCAGCGAATTGCATAAAAAATCCTGCTTAAGAATAAGTGCACTCACAGACACGCTCTCGATCACACGCACACACGCACATAGAAGCGCGACAAAGCAAAAGCAGAGAAAAAGAAAACACTAAAAAAAGGGCAAACAGTGCGCGCACAAACAAGGTGGAAAGTAAAAAAGTTGTTTGTCAACTTGTGGCGTCCATTGCACACACAAACATTCCCTCTGCAACACCCAGCAGCAACAGCAGCAGCTCCCCTCAAATGTTGCAGCAACAAAGTGTCTGGCTGTACTGCTACTGCTACCAAGTGGAAATGCAAGTCCAGTGTGCATGCAACAGCGCCTGCGGCCAGTGCTAAGCAATAGCAGCGTAAGAAGCAGCAGCAGGAGCAGCAGCAGCAGCATTAGAAGAGTGCAGCAATAGAAGAGTGCAGCAGCAGCAGCAGCAGCAATCCCTTGCAGCCATGTCAACGGTCACTCGCAGCGCCAGCGCCAGCCCCTGCATGGCCCTCAATGGCATCATCGACGCCAGCCTCTTCCCCCTCAAGTCCACCTCGGATGTGGTCAATCTCTTTAGACGCGCCCTCACCAGCGCCATTGAGCCCGATCTGACGCTTCTCTCCATCGTCGTTGGCTACATTGAGCTGTCGCTGACCACCGGCGAGGCGGCCCAAGCGGCGCAGGCAGCCCAAGCTGCTCTAGGTGAGTGACAGTTAGAGTTCAATTGACTTATATTTTATAAGACATTATTTCTTAGCCAACAAAAGTGTCAATAGTCTTCTAAGTTGGGGTTAGTTATTTCTAACTTATAAAATATAAGAGCTGTAATGTTCATTGTATAAATCTATAGTGGCGGTTTATTTTCAAATTTAACGTATATTTTTTTACGGGATTTTTTAAATTCATAACAACGTTAAATACTTTAAAGACTTCCAAATTTGTTGCCGCTTAAAAACAATGAAATAAAAGAATATATAAAATATAAAAAATATTTTGGCATTGTTTTTGATAAATAATAGTCATATAATTATTATTGTTATGTGATTGAAAATTATTTAATAAACTAATGTTTGTTATTTTAATTTAGTTAAATAATTATAGTTGTTTACAGTAATAATAATTACCCACATTTTGATAAGTTGAGGCAATTTGGATTTTTGGCGAAATAAATTAATATAATTTCATTCTTTTATATTATAAAATTTATAGTAATAGAAATATTTATTTTATTTTATATTTATTTCATTATTCTATTTATATTTTACGATTTATCATATTTAGTTGTATTGTAATGCAATTTTGATATAATTTTAATTGTTATTATTTTGTTGTTTGGCAATTTTTAGGTGGCAGCAATGAGGTAATCATGGGCAACAGCGTGCCCTTTCCCGTGGTGACCCACGAGCTGATTGCCGGATTGTACAAGAAGTTCCAGACGATATTGTCAGTGGTGGACAAACCGAAGCCACATCGCCAGGCGACGCGGGAGATCATCAAGAAGGTGTCGGACGTGATCTGGAACTCGCTGATACGCAGCAGCTACAAGGATCGAGCCCATCTGCAGAATCTGTACAGCTATCTGTCCGGAAACAAGTTGGATTGCTTTGGCGTGGCGCTGGCCACGACCGCCGGCTGCCAGCTGCTGGGCTATCGCGATGTGCGCCTGGCCATATCCGAGGATCATGCGTGGGTCGTATTCGGGCAGAAGCACGTGGAGAGCATCGAGGTGACCTGGCATGGCAAGGGCAGCGAGGATAAGCGTGGCCAGGACATTAGCGCCGGCATTGAGTCCGGCTCGTGGTTGTACCTGGGCGGCCTGGCCGTCATCTGTGAGCGCGGCATGGAGGTGGCTGCCATCTGTGTCGCCTTAAATATATCGCTCAGTGCGAACAGCGATTGCGTTGAAGTGGCCGAGCTGCAGCAGCAGCTGCTGTGGCTACTCTACGATCTGGGCCACCTGAAGCGCTACCCCATGGCGCTGGGTCTGCTTGGTGAGCTGGAGGAGATCAATCGGACGCATCGCAGCATCACCTGCGAGCAGCTATTCCGCGAAGCAATCGAGTCCTCGCGCAACTACTATCACAATCATCACGTCTATCCGCACATCTTTCAGGGCAACTATTACAATCGTTTGCTCAAATATCGCGAAGCCTTCGCCGCCTGGGCGAATGCAGCCGACGTCATACGCCTGTATACGTATCAGTGTCGCGACGATGAGGAGATCTACAAGGAGCTGCTGGACATTGCCAATGAGCTTATACCCTATGTGATGAAGACAGAGAGTTCGGGCCATTCGGCTCGCAGCATTTTGCGTGATGCGGAGGTGTTTGCCAATTTGTTGCGCTTCTACGATGGCATCTGCCAGTGGGAGGAGGACAGCCTAACGCCCATTCTGCACATTGGCTGGGCCAAGCCGCTGGTCACGAACATCACCAAGTTCGACTATGACATACGCTCCCAGGTGGTCATCAAGCTGCCCGAGGATGTGGAGGCCGAACAGGCAGCAGCATTGGAGGCTAAGAAGAAGGCAACAGCTGCAGCTACAGCCGCAGCAACAGCAGCAGCTCTCGAGGCGTCGCTTCATGCGGAGGGCAACAACAACAATAACAACACGGTTGTTAAGAAGGATGAGGTGGGATATTGCAGATTGATATATGATGCACTTGAAAGTTATATATATTTCATTAATCATATATTCATTGTTAATAAGTTCATATTCATATTTAGATTATATTATTTGTCTATTTAAGCTTCCTTACTTACTGATAGTTTTTTTGTCTGTCTCCTTTGATATTTTCTTATATATATTTAATGTCAGGATGACGCAGATTCAGATTTTATTGTCTGTCTGTTGAAGTTTCCTTTCTCCATCTGTAACCTATGATATTTTCCTTATTCCATATGTACAAATCTAAGGATGTGGAAGGATGTTGCAGCTTGATCTCTGATTCCTTGGATAGTTATATGCCATTTAAATCATATACAGAATATATATTCCAAAGATTATGATACTATTGTGTGTCTGTTTAAGCTTCCTTTCTATATGTATACTTTTCATTTCTATACGTATCCTATCTCCATATCTACTCAATCTCAGAGAGCAACAGCATTATATCCTTCTTATAACCTATACAAAGTATTCTTCTAATCATATTTTTTCGTTCCAATTCACAGAAATCCAAATCGGAGTTGCCAACCACTTTGGCGGATCTTACAGCTGCTTGTGGCGAAAAGATATTGAATCCCGATTTTCTGCTGCAGGGCGGCGGTCAGCCGTTCGCTGATCAAAAGCAACAGGCGGTAGCCGACCAAACAACGTCCAGCGAACTGTCGCACAATAACAACAACCACATCAACAACAACACCAGCAGCAGCAACAATGCTGAAAAGGAGGCTACAACCATAAGCAACAACGGCAACAATGAGGCTAACAGCAACAGCAACAGCAACAGCAACAACAACGAGCAACAACAACAGCAGCAGCAGCAGCAGCAGCACAAAGAAGCCAAAGTGGAGGAGATCAGTCAAGTGGAGCTGGCGAGCAGCAAACAGCCAGCAGTTGTTGATGATTACGATCCATTCGAGATAATGCTTAAACGTCCAGTGATCACGTTGTATAGTCAGAAAATGAAAGGGCTGAAGGATCTGCTGCTGGCCGAGAAGCTGAACACGCATGCCATTTCGCTGCAGGTTACCGCCCAGTCGGTGGCATCACGCAAGGTGCGTGGCAGTGGCACAGATAGTCGGCAGCCGGCGACCATATCGGCGACTATAACAGCTATAGCCTCGACAGAGGGCGCGAGTATTGGAGGCAGTGCAACGAGTGCCGCATCAACCGATTCGTTTGCGCCCACGCGACCGAAGCGAACAAGGCGCGAGTAAACAAAAGCAAAAACAAGAAAAGAAAACTAAAAACCCAGTTGAAGTAATTTGTAGTGATTTGTTGTTTGTAATTATATTATATATATTTATATATGTATGTATATCAGATAATGTAAGCTCAGCCCACAAGCGAGCAACGAGTAACACAGATATCGCATGCGAGTAGAACAGTCGCTGTAAATGGAGGCAACGAATGCCTCAGTTTAACAGCGAGCTTTTACTGAGCAGGGGCGATTGCTTTGTCTTAATAGCGAATTGCTTACTCGTTGCCTTTTGTCGGTTGACGCTATAATATTAATCCTTTATTATTATTGCATATAGATATGCGCTATCAATATTTTCGATGTTCGATGTGTATTTATGTAGTTTGTAAGCGCAAAACAAATACCGTTAGAGAACGCTTAGCGTTTTAAAAAAAAAAGAGACACACACACATATACCAACTCTCTTACACACACAAATACTTATATGAAAAAGCTCTCAACTATAAAAAGAACCTGATCTTGGCCCAAATAAACGAGTAAGAGCAGCGATTGACTCACTCGTTATTTGTGCCAGATCTGTCAACGTATTTCTAGCCTGTTAAAGTAAATAATTTAATTAATTTTTTTTTTCTATTTATTAATGCAACTTGTTTACAACCACAAAAACTTTGTTTTACATTTTATTGGTGCTCTACTTGAAACAAAAAGCAAAAATTTCAAATATCGAAAGATGCATGAAAATGAATGATAAAAATATGAAATGATTGATTGCAACTACCCGATGCATTCAATGAGGCTAAGCTGTTTAATTTACAGATTGTATACAATGCATGTTTGTATTATTATTATATATCTATATTTATATATTAATATTCAACTTACAAATCTAAACAGATCAACAGATAAAACATATTTAACACTTCCTCTCTATATGTGATAAAACTGTTTTTTCTAGAAAGCTTTCAAATACTATATGTACTAGATGCGTATTTAATAATACACAACCATGTATATATATATATTATTTATATATATATTAATCAACCTAATAACTAACACATATACAAACACACACACTTACACAAAAGTATATAAGGGCCGTGTAACTTAATGGAGCAGGACGGCAAGCACTTTTTGAACTATTTGATCACATAACAGCACCAGCTAACAAAGTTATATTATTTATAAAAAGCTTTCGTAGCACTTATTAGTATTAAAAAAAGATCACTTATGTTATTTACGAAATTCTTATTTCACTTAAAAGTGGCAGTCTCTAAAGAGAAACCCCTTAAGCACATAAGAAAGGAGCTTAAAAAAAAAAAAAAAAAAAAAAAAAAAAACACAAATTGTTAATTGATGATAATAATTGCATTTTTATTTGTGCGTTGTGCGTCTGTGATGTAAACAAATAGCAATGAAGCCCATTAAAAATCGAAATTCAAACAAAGCAAAAACACAAATCGAACAAAAATAAGTTTAAAACAAAAGAAAAAAAAAATATATATATTCAAATGTATGGTGTTTTATTCCTTTATAAAAGTAGCATACTTAAAACAGATACAAATCTATATTAATACATATGTAGATATATTTTGGCATATAAAATTTTTACAATAAGCTCAAAAAAAACTTATAAAACTTAAGAACGAATGCAACAATTTTGGCAAGCTGAAAATTCCAACCAAATACAAATTTATAAGAAAAAGAAGCCTATGCAACAAAACAGAAAACAAAACAATATGCAATAAATCAAAAGCATACCGCAAAACTATTTATTATAAATGTTAACGTTACGTACACTTCAACTGCTCAATAACCCTATTAGCTTGAAACTCTCAAATAGCCACAAGTCAAAATGTTATAAAATAAATAAAGGTAAAAAAAAATATAAAAATGCATATTTCAAAAAGCGAACAGCGCGCCCATTCCACTTTAACTACCTGGCAACGCCATGATTTTTGATCTGATTGTCTTATTGAAATCAACTGCTGCTCAACACTAAATATCGATATATTGTTATTTTTACTTACATCTCTAGACAAATGACTCGGCATCATTTCGGCTAAACGTCAAATTTGTTGAAAAAGTAGAATTGTTTAACAATTGTAATTCAGCATACACAAACAAATATTAAAAATGTCTGCGCCCGATAAAGAGAAGGAAAAGGATAAGGAGGAGACAAATCAGAAGAGCGAGGATTTGGGTCTTCTAGAAGAAGATGATGAGTTTGAAGAGTTTCCCGCTGAAGGTAAGAATTTGTTTTTGTTTTTATTAAAGTATGTTGAATTATGAGATGCGTTTCGTGACAGACTTCCGTGTGGCCGACGATGTGGAGGAGCCAAATGTGTGGGAGGATAATTGGGATGACGACAATGTAGAGGATGATTTCAGTCAGCAGTTGAAGGCACATCTGGAGAGCAAAAAAATGGATACATGAATTTCTGCTGCCCCTCGTTCGTCCCTAACCACAAACAAACAGTTTAAGCTTTAGCAATAAACAAATAAATATATTAAGTCGAAACCGCTCAGTGATCTATTAAGCTAGAGACAACTATTTTAATTTGCTCCGCATCGCACTGCTGCGCCTCTATTTGCTCCTGCAGCTGGGCCTTGCTCTGCTGCAGCTCAACGATGCAATCTTCTTGCTGAGTGATAAATGTTTCTAATTCTGCGATACTCTGCTTCTGCTCTTGTGCATCCTTTTCGATTTGTGACTTGAGTGTTTTTAGTTTCTTTTCGCACTCTGCGAGTTGCTGTTTCTGCTTCTCATTGCTATTTGAGACACTTTGATGTTTGGATTCTATCGATGCATGTTTCTTCTCCATTCGCTCCTTGAGCTTGAGATTCTCTTTGTACTCGTTGAGCATATCTGGTGGCAATATGTTCATCGCCTTCTCTAACTCATCGATCAGCTGCTGATTGGCTTCGATCTCCAAGCGACGTTCTTTGAAGAGTTCCTCCTGCTTCTCCATTTCCTGCTTGCTGCTCTCGATGCGGGCAAGTATTTGCGCTGTTTGGCTGTGGATTGGAGTTAAATAAGTTTCTCATTGTTTTTGTCTTTGTTCACTTACCTTTCGACTAACTCGACCTCGGTGTCCCTGACCAGCAGCTGCTCAAATTGCTTAACCTGGCCATTGATCTCCGCCAGCTGCTCCTCCTGCAAAGCTGATTCCATTTCCTTTTGCTGTAAGATCTTCGATTGCTCATTCAGTTCGGCCATTACTTTTGGCAGCTCCACAGTCATCTTGTCTATGTTGGCCTGGTGATTAACAATGTCGATTTTCGTTTGCTCTGCCTTCTGTTTATTCAGCTCCAATTCAGAGCGTTTTGCTGCGATGGCTGCACTTAAATCCTGCCGCTCCTTAAGCTTATCTGCAATAGGGCATAGGATCTCCTTCTTATACATTTTATAGAAACACCTGTAATTGAAGAGGACATCCAGCGTGCTGGAAGTCTTCTTTACAGCTGCAATAACAGATATTTATAGGAATATAGTTTATATATATCTATTTATATATGTATATAGGTCATTCATACTTGGATCTATGATATCAATGTATGTGAACGTTTTGCCTGGGAATGATATTTGTATTATGCGTTCCACTTGTCGGCACAGTTTGCTCAAGAACACGCGCTTCTCTCGGGACGTATCCTTCGCCTCGCTTTCGATATTGTACGGCGGCTCCACTCGAAAGCCAAAGGAACGCAGATAGCAAATCAGCACTTTGGTTAGAAATGCCTCTGTTGGATGCGACAGCTCGTTAGGTCGCATATTCAATTCGGGAAACAGCGAGTTGGCCGTCTCGCAGACAAGTTCTAACGCGGCAGTATTGTTATTCATAATAATTTATTTACTTTGTTTTCTTTTTGAAATTACTTATGGATGACAACAAATTTGCCGCTTTAATTTGACGCTAAATATGACAGCTAAAGTTATTCGATATGTCGATAAGAATATACAAGAATATTCTCGAGTGCTGTATAGCAGCAAAGAGTCTGTTTGGCTGGCTCAACGGTTTCTTAAATAAAACTAGTTGCACTAATTTATTATATATTTGTCATAAACATATACATATTTTTATTTTGCCATTACTTTCACGTAGTTGTAATGAACTTTAGCTTTGATATGCACTTAATATTTAATACAGTCGATGTATCGTTGCCTGTGCACTATTCGTACGATGTATCGGTAGATTAGAAGTCCAACATTTTTAGGTGTTGCAAAACAATCAATATTTTGAACGATGGATTTAACGGATTTTAAAATGTAGATACTATGGCAACAATGCATTGTTTTTCTTTCACTTTTGCATTAATTGCAATTGCAAAACAATATCGAATACCGAGTAAAATAAATATGACCTCCTCCAGCGCTGTGGAAGATGAACATCTAACTGATTCGGATCTATCCGACGATGAGGGTATATAATAAAACTTAAATACTTTCTTTTACTAATAAAATGAGTATTCCCAGAACGCAAGGAAGAGGTTCCGCAAGAGGAAATTCGTCCTCCCACGCCACGTCCCACATACAGCGATGAGGATCTTAATCAACTGCTTGAGTATATACAACGCATGACCACATTGTATTCGTTGAGTCAAACGGATTGGAGTGAAGCTTCACTCGATAATATACGACGCTGGCTGCTGGAGGTCAATGAACCACTGCTCACAATTTTCTATGCAGATAATGTGCTGACAGCTTACCTGGGCTTCCCAACGAAGCCCGTTGATGATATTAGCTACTTTTTGCGTGGAGAGCCCAATGAAATATTCACCGTCGAGGGCTTCCATGATGAGATTCACTTTGGCACCGTGCACAGTGATGTGGATGGCTGTTTAATGCGCCTACTAGAACGCTTCTATGCGCCCATTTTCCGCAACTACCAGGACTGGAATCAGACAGTGCGTTCGAGGTTCTGTGCCAGTCTCGACAAACTGTTGGCCTTCCTCTTTGCCATCAACTCCAAGATCGGTGGCATCACGGCGCTCTATGTGCCCTTTGTGCTGCATCAGATTGGAGGGGAGCAAATCGTCTGTGACAGGCCGTTGTTCAAGAATCTCGAAAGCATCGCCGTCTATTGGACGACACAGATACGCACAGTGCTGAGTGATCGAACACTGATGGCCGCCAACACGCTGGCAACTATGAACGACGAATACGAGTTCTGGGAATATCGATGTGGGTATTAATGTGTGAGGGAGCAGTGCTCGAATTGTATGTATGACTGACTAGAAAATACCCTAAAGGAAAATTGCAGTTTCTAATTTTTAAGATTAAGATTTTTATTGAAGTACCTTAAGTATTTAATGTAATTAAATATACATTTTAATATATGTTTTAAACATTTTTACTTGCAGTGGAGGTGCTGCAGGGCTTGAACTCCCAGCTGGAGCAGTTCGATGTGCAGCGTGTGTTCAAGGTGCTGCGTCAATGGCAATCGGTGCACATGCCACAAATCGAGGAGCTGCTCTCATCCGCTCAGATGGAGCAAGAGTTGGCCATGTCAAATCTGAGATACTTGTATTTGCTGATCGAGCCCTGCGCCAAGATCGATGAGTCCAAATCATTGGCAGACGTGTCGCAACAGTTGCCGCACATCTTTCATCTGTTGCGTTTCGTTTGGGAGCAATCGGAGCATTATAAGAGCAGCGATCGCATCACTATACTCTTTCGCAATCTGAGCAATCAGATTATTAAGTATTGCACCAGCCAAATAAATCTGGACGAGATACTGGAAGGTCGTCCGAGGCTCGGCATTAAGATGTGCAATCTGTCCCTGGAGTGCTGCCAGTCCTATGAGGAGCAGCTGCATCAACTGGACCTGCAGAAGATTGGCTGGCAGCTGGACCGGGGCATCATCTTAAATCATGTGCACGCATTTATGGAGAGATTGAACGATCTGAAGGACATATGCGAGGCAATGATTGTTTTCGGGCGAATGGATGAGCTGGAGAGCATAGGCGAGGTACAGTTCAGTGGCACCAACGGCGAGCAGCTGGAGCGGATTGCGGTGAGTGTGGAGCAGCAATTTCTGACCACGCTCGATCAGCTGCGCAGCTCCAATACGAAGCACCTGATGCTGGACGTCTATCGCAGCGAGTGGTATGAAAAGATGGAGGCCTACCGGAAATCTGTCCGAGGCATGGAGGAGACCCAGCAGCGCCTCCTCTCGAATGCCTTTCGTCGTGTCAGCAATGTGGAGGAGACACTGGAAACACTCAATGTCTTGCTCTACTATTCCTACCACGCCACACTCCGCAAATGCTATCTGGGCCAGGTGACCCGCCTGTGGCAGCGGTTCAGCGAGGATATGGATACAGCGACCAGACAGTTGCTGCAGCTCCGACGAAAGCAACATCCCTCCTGGCTGCCTCCGCATGTCAGCGATGCGCTGGCCTACCGCATCAATCTGGACCGCCTGATCTGGCTGCGTGATCGTCTAGCTAAAGCGGGCTCCACCTGGCTGCCAGCTGTGCCGCAGGCAGCGACTGTGATGGACAAGTTTGAGCTGCTGCGCTCGGAGTTCGAGAGAGAGATACGACTCGCCTTTGAGGAGTGGCACGGCCAGGCGGGCAGTAATCTGTGCCAGAAGCTGGAGCGATATCTGGTGCATCGCAGCAAGCAGTCCAAGGTTCTGCTGGAGTGCAACATGGATGCGAGTGCCTTGCACCTCTGCTCGCAGGCGCAGCACTTTGAGAAGCTGGGCTACGCTCTGCCCCTGCCCATACGCAAGATCTATGAGAAGCAGGATGCCTTGAAGCTGATATATAACAACGTGCTGCGCCTCTGCCTGGACTACAATCGCCTGGTGAATAGCCTAACGCAACGGGAGCGAAAGCTCTTTCGTTCACTGATTCAGTGCGTCGATCGCCAGTTCGCGCCGGGCATCTATAAGCTCAGTTATGCCGGCTTCTCGACCGGGGAGCCCGATGAGAGCTACGACCATTGGCTGGAGGACTGTGTGGAGCATGTGGAGGAGCTGCGTCACATCATTCAGCTCTACAAGCGCGCGAATCGTCAAATTGTGCGCTGCTGCGAACGCATCTGCGATACGTCCATGTTGCGATTCAACTTTAGTGGAGCTGTGGATATTTCTGTGTTCGAGCAGCAGCTGAGCAGCTGCCTGAATGGCGGCAACAGTGCCTTGAGAAAGTACTACAACACCATTGTGGAGCTCATTACGGCGGTGGCCAATGAATTTGCGGAGGTGCAAGAAGAAGTAAGTTAAGTAGCATAGCTCATTCGAGATCTCATTACATCTATCTATATATCTCTCTATATATATATAGCAATCTAGCGAGTGGCATCAGTATGTGAACGTCTTTGATGATATGCTGGCTAGTGCATTTCTCTGCTGCGCCCGCAACGCATTGCAGCTGCTGCAGGATGCCTTGCGCTCCGACGAGGACCTGCCGCCTGGGCCTATTCTGGTCATGGAGGCCGACGTGAAGGACGCCCAAATACAGCTCACACCCGACATGCGCACTGTTGGCGCCGTGCTGCGTGGCGTCATCGATCGCGTGCAGAGTCTGGTGGATCAGTTTGCACGGCTCGGCTACAAGCTGAAGATCCCCAAGGAGAAGCGACGTCCGAATTTCGCGAGAGCATTTCGAGAGGATGCCGAATGTTCGGAGCTGGTGCGCGGCATCGAGGCAGAGATTGCACGCCAGCAGGAGAAGATCGAGGAGTATGTAATCCAGTGGCGGGCGCATCATGCGCTCTGGGAACTGACCGAGGAGGCGTTTACACAGCGACTGCTGGCCAGCTCCAAGACAGCGCGCGTGTTCGAGGGGGGCATCGAGCACTATAGCTCGTTAGCCGATGATATTTCCTTCATGGATGCCATTGCCCACGTGCACTTTGTGCTCATGAATCAGAATCCCATCAAGAGCACTCTGCTCGACTGGATTGAGAAGTGGCAGGCTCTGAATATTCAAATAATGCTGCAGCATGCAACGGGCCTCATCGATGGTGAGTTATGAGCGTGATTGACAGAGTGACTGACTGATTGACGCTGTGCTCGGACAGCCAGAGAACTTGACAGCTTAATCCAGAGTTTCTGCTCTCTTACAGCTCTCTATCGCTATATGGAACGCAATGAGCGCAAAGTGTTGCGTGTGCCGCGCACTCATAATGAAGCTATTGTCGCCAATCAGCTCTTTGAGCGCCTCGTTCAGGCGGTGCCAGGGAAACAGTCCAGATTCACGCCCATGCTGGAGGTGTTTGTGCTTCTACATAAATACCGAGTCCCCTTGCCGGATGCAGCACGTGAACAGATCCTCGACCTGGAAGCTAATTGGCTGCGCTATCTGCAAGTTCTGGTCGAGGCTGATGAAATGCTTGATCATGAGAGCGATGAGCATAAGATCATGCTGGCCCAGCAGGCAGATCAGTTCAGGCTTATACTAAAGCAATTCCACGAAGATTATTTCTCCAAGTTGCCCAAGAAGTAATACCCGAAAGTATTAAAAATAATATTTATTTATTTATTTTTTCATATTGTAAATGCAACATATTTTATCTAATTCTGAGAACTGATATATCATTATATACACATCAGTTAACTTTTAATATAATATTTTATTTACTGATTTCAAAATCTTGTCATCATAAAAATCGCTTAAAGAGAGTGGGAAAAGAAAAAATAAATAAAGCAGAGCAAATAAGAATGGGAAATGCATTTTTTAATAAGTTTATTTTATTTATTTTACTTTTGAATGCAGTCAAAAGTATTACTCATTATTACTCAAACATGTAATATTATTTTCCAATTCTCTTTTGTTATGATAAAACATATTATTTGGCCTTTTTGTTGTTTTGTTTTTTTCTTGTGGCTTTTGCCTCGATTCGATTTTGTTGTATAAGCAAATTGCGGGCATATTTGTTATCAGCCTGATGGATTGGGGAGGGCCAATCTCGGTTAATGGGCATTTGATGAGGAGCAGCTGATGTGGGTCTCAGTCATGAATTGTTTGCTGCGCTATCCACTTCTATTGCTCGCCTACTGGATTGCCGCGGGCGTCCATGGCAGTCGCATTTTGTGCCTCTCTGTGGGCGTGCATCGATCCCAGCTGCTTGTCCATTTGGCGGTGGCGCGAGTGCTGCTCCAGCGTGGCCATCAGCTAACTCTGGTAACCAGTCAGCCCTTGGAGAGGGATTGGCTGACGGCGAATGTAACGCATTTGCTGCTGCCCTGGCAGTTGCCGAGGGAACAAGTGATCGAGCCTCATGCCAATTTTCTGACTCGTCTGCAATGGACACTTGAGAGGTTGGAGAAATCGGGCGAACTGCTCGATCAGCCCGAATGGCGAGAGTTTATGGAGCACACTCCATCAACGCCCTATGATCTCCTGCTGCTTGGCTACCATTTCAATGACCATCTACTGGGCGTCGCTGCTCATTTCAATTGCCCTGTGGCCATTATAACGACTCAGCAGCCAATTGGCTTCGTGCACAGCCTGATGGGCAATCCAGAGGAACGCTGGTATGTGCCGCAGCCCTACGACAGTCGCCAGCGAACGGGACTGGAAGGCTACATCTTTGGACTGTGGGAGAAGCTGTCGGAGCTGCTAGCCAGGCGCGTCATGCAGCGCATTTACAGGTGAGGTAGCTGTGAAAATTTGCTAGTTTATATACATAGTTTATATACATATATATATATAGTATATCGATGTTTAGCTGGATTTATAGTTAGCAAATATAGAATTTCATCATCTAAAAGAGCTGCAGAGACAAAGACAAATATAATATATTGAGTAGGGTTTTTTTAGTTTTCTGTGGGAATTCACATATATTAAGATATTTATAGTTAAGTAATAGATCAATTCAAGGAAGTAATTTAAGAAGATTTTCTATAAGTCCTATACTGTGGGTGATCTTACATTGATTGGCTTTAGGACGAACTTGACGTATTTGCTATACTAAATCTACTGTACTAGATCTGTTATTCTACATATTTTGTACTAGATCTGTTATAAAATATCTGATATACTGTATCTATTATACAAAATCTCTCCTACTTTTAATCTTACAGTCACCTGCTTTTCATTAATCTCCCTTTTATATTTCCAGCACTCACTTTCCTTCCCCACAGTACCCTAGCTTCGAGGAAATGCGCCGTCGAGTGATACTCGCCTTGAATAATCATCACATGGTCAGCGAGGGACCCATAGGTCCGCTGCTGCCCAACATGCTGGATATTGGCGGCATAGTAATGGAGCAGATGGAACGAAAAGAGTTAAACTTACCTCGACGTCCTTTCATAGTCTTCAGCCTGGGCACGCGCTTTAGCTGGCTCACAATGCCTGGCAAAGTGGAGAAAGCATTTGTGGATGCCTTTGCTCAACTAAGGGATTATGATATATACTGGACATATGATGGAGCTAATGCTAGTACTATTCACTTGGCAAATAGTCACGTGCATTTAGAGGATTGGTGGCCACAAGCTCAGCTATTAGCTCACCCCCTGGCTCGACTCTTCATCACACATGGAGGCAAGGGAAGTCTCAGTGAGGCGCTCTACTATGGAGTTCCTATGCTCGGCCTGCCTCTGCTAGGCGATCAACGGCCAAACTTACGCAAAATGCAAAATAAGGGCTGGGGCTTATCCCTGGATATTCACAATGTGAGCCAAGCGGAGTTGTTGTGCTCTATCAAGAGGCTGTTGAATGAGAAGCAGTTCCGGGAGAGCATTCGAAGATCTTCATTGCTGTATCGTGATCGTCCTTTGAATGCCAGCGATTTGGCTGCCTATTGGCTGGAATATGTGATTAGGCATAAGGGTGCACCGCACCTATCTGGCAACGCCAGGCACTTGAATTTTTGGCAGCGCCATCTTTTAGACGTTAGACTTGCAGTCTATGGACCGTTGGGTATGCTTGGCTGGTTGGCCCTGTGGCTAAATAGAAAACTCAACTGCAATCGCTGACTAGCTTTATCGTTTAATCGTAATTTGTAATAGATATTTATATAAGTAAGTTTACAGATATATATATGGATGTATATATATATAGTAAGTAGTTACAGTTGTAGCTTAAACACGAAACTTAAGTACAATTGAATGTTAGTTGGTTTCAATACTTTTTGTTCGTTTCCGAAATTTTTGACTGTGTTTGGTTTTTTTTTTCTTGTTGATGTTTTTCAAGGTGTTTTGGTTCATACGCCTAATAGCAGAATTATTATAACATTAATTTTTCAATATGTTTACTGAAATTACAAGATGACTGCGAATGAATGGAACGTTCTCTAGAGTTAATTGAAGACATAAATGAATGAATGACATTGAATAAGATCTAAGAGCTAAATAGTTTAATTTAATATTTAGAAAGTTTCTAGAAAAATCATTCAATCGTGGGATTGATGGCACTATTCTTAAAATTGATGCATACAAATATTGCAAATTATTTTACAAACACAGTTGAATGAAATCTTGAGGAAAACATAAAGAGCATATGAAAACTTTCTTAATTAAGTGTTATAAAGATTCAATCATACGATTGATGAGTGCTGATAACTTTCAAATAATTAAATTTAATATCATATCAATCATTGTTGTTGCTCCAAGTATTAATCAAATGAGATATGATATAAGATCTAGTGAACAACTGGAGCTTGAATCTTTTATATATATTATTTTATTTCAATCACATGATTTTTGATGATTAAATTATTTATATGTAGCGTATATTTTTCATGTGATGAGAAAGTTTTCTTTTAATCTCAAAAAATGCATGCATGCGAATCAAAGAATATTCTATAGGGAATTCTTTTTCGGGACAACTTTAGAGGACATGGAGAGGTTCGTATTGGTGACTGACTTATCTTTAATCCTAAGTTTGCTCATTTGTATAAAAATAAAAACAATAGAAAAATATAAATATATATTGATGATGTTCGACTGCTTCTAAGCTCCGCTGCGATACATTCAGTAATTCAGAACTCTGCACACCTCCAGCATGGGCGTGAATCTGGAATATATATTGATGATGTTCGACTGCTTCTAAGCTCCGCTGCGACACATTCAGTAATTCAGAACTGTGCACTGATCACAGTTCTGAATTACTGAATGTATCGCAGCGGAGCTCAACCTAGCTTAGCCAAAGCCCAGTTGACGTGGCTGCGATTGCGTTGAGCGCGGACATCGGCCGATGTTTAGGTTGAAGACGCCATAGCTGCAGATGGGCGGGCTGCACTCGTTGCTGCGAATGCATCTGTAGAAGAGTTGGTATATTATTAGATTTGGATATTAGATGTAGTTTTGGTTGATTGACTGCAATTACTTGAGCTCTGAGACGGCGAATCCCTCGTCGCCGTTCTTCATGCGCTGGCACGTGATGTTGCTCAGGTGGCAATCGCAGCGGCAGCGACTCGTTGTGCTGGGGCTGCTGCTGCTGCTGCTGCTGGCGCCACTTGGTGTCATGGCAAAGTTTATAAAGTGCTTGGGGCACTCGCATTGGGAGCTACGCTTGCGCCTCTGCGCTGGCCGATTGATGCAATGGCACTCGGTGTGGTTGGTCATCGAGACTATTGTCGCCTTGCTGTGCCGGCTGTGGATCGAGCGCATAAAGAACACCTTGTCGACGGTCGTCTGGTTCTTGACGGCCCACACCTCGTTGCTGGAGCAGCAGCTGCTGTTCTCGTCACACCGATGGAGCACAGTGGCCCGTGGCGAATAGACCGTCGATGTTTCGCTCATCATGCGAATCACTCGCGCCTGCGGCCGCTTGCAAAGCGGCTCGTTCTCCATGCTCTTCTCGTGCAAGCGAGCCAGGTTGTCTGGAAAGAGTAGAGAAATAATATGCAATATGGGAAATTAGCTAAGTGAGCTAATAAAGCGTTAAAGGTAGTCTGAGCATTTGCTTCATATCTTAATGTCTATGTCTCTATCTCCATCTACTTCCTAATTGGGGTAGCTAGTTTAGAATTTGGCCTAGGGGCAGCTGTAACTTGAGGCAACTCGGAATTCAGTTGCAGTTGCAGTTGCATTTTATAGCTGCATAATGACTTTATATGGGCTTGTGGGTGGGCGTTGCATGCCACGCCATGGTCACGGCTAACTGCCAAAGGGCAAGCGGGTGCAGGGAGGGAGCCTAGTTCAAAGACAGCAGCTGCTGTTGCTGCTGCTGCTGCTGCTGCTGCTCTTGTATCTTGCCTCGTTGGGGCAATAACAAATTTTGCGCACTTGAATAATTCATGGAGCAGGGCGGCGACTCAGACTGGGGCTAAGGCAATTGCCATGTTGTCTGCCAAGTTGATAATTCAATCGTGTCATATACATATATATATATATATAGCTCTACACACATACATACATACACATGCACATATGTTCTACTGTTCAAATGTCAGTAGCTTGATCTGATTTTCATTGCAATTCTGTTTCGCATTTCAGATTTCGCTGCGTGACACCCACACCTTCATTTCGTATTTACATCTGTTGCCCTTTTTTTTGCTATTGCAATTTTATGACTTTATTGGCTTGCAATCCCCTGTTTGTTTGCTTGTTTTATTTTATTTTTTTTTGCATCTGCATTGAACAGCAGCAACCGCAGTAACAACAACAATTGGGACAACTTTGATAACGACTGGGGTATAAAAAGCCGTTGCGTATGCTAAAAATTTCAGCGTTTCCTTTTTATTGGCTTTTGGCGACAGCGGCAACAGCAACAGCAACAACAATATGGAATGTAAACAACATTAAAGCAATAAAGGTGCAAAACTGCTGCCGATCCATAAAGAAATAAATACAAACAAAAATAGTTCAGGCCAACTGGCACGACTAGCCAATACCCTGGAACATTTTAGAAAATATGCTTAGCAGTAGAAATTTTAGTTTTATAAATTATATCAAAATTAATATGAACGTAATCACAATCATATTAATATGTACATATAATCAAGTTAGTTTGATAGGTTCTCCTACACTGACAGATAAAATATGATAATGATCTATAAATAAATACTATATATATGTATGTATACATATATCTGCCATTCAACCATATTGGTTTATTATTATATTATTATTCAATATCTCAGTTTATTTATTAAATTATTATTTTGTAATTTTTCATTTACTGTGATTTTGTGTCACGTGATATAATTGTTAAGATATAATTGAAAAGCAATTTGCAAGAAAAATATGCGCGCGATATAAAACGCGAGCAAAACGCTCGCATTGCGTATGGGGGTTGATAAAACAATAGGATTGCGCACAGGTACACAGATACAGATATACACACTTATATAAAAAAATAAATTGGCATTGAAAAGTGCAATGATGAGCTTGAATGTAGTTGATTGAACTGCGTTTAAAAACGAGCATGAAACGCGCATGAAACGCGCCTGAGAACTGAGTACGAAAAAAAACTAAGAAATAAATATGGAAAAAATTTAAAGAAAATATAAAAATAAATTAAAAGAAATAAGTATTTTTGGAAAGCTTTAACATTAAATAAACACCAATATTCAGATATGGATATCCATAAAATAATTTTATATTTCATGTCTTCATAAAGGAAGCCAAAATTAATTTGAAATATCATAAACATACGTCAGTTATTTCAAATCAAAATGCCATGGCAGACTACATATGCACTTCGATATCGAACTCTCATGATTGATTAACATAACATAATAAATGCATTTGCAGCTAAAGCTCGACTTATGGCTCGCTTCGTATCGCAGGCATGCCAATGTCAAGCCGTAGTAGTATATGAAAATTGCATGCGCACACAATAATAATGATATATGTTAGCAACGACTGTAGCAAGCACTTGAGATAACGGTTAATAGGCAAACACATGTCACTTAAGCCAGGAGTCAATTTATAGGAATCGATCGATGGCAATTTCGTGGCCAACTCCAGAGTTGACTTTCCACTTATTCGCGGCGGACGACAACAAAAATGTGATAAGAAAATTGTTGCATCATTACGCATTTAAAGCGGCAAGTTGTGTGTGCCGGCAAGCCCAGCCACAGCCCAAGCAACAGAGACAACAACAACAACAACAACAACAACAGCAACAGCAGCGACAACAGCGACAAACAGCAGCAGCAACAACAACAACAACAGCGAGACATATCAGCTAACAATTTCCCAGGCTTAGTGACACACTTTCATTGAGGTGACGTCGCTGCTGTCCACACGCGCTTAACGGTTTGCAATCTTCTTGAGTGCTCGACTCGCAGATGCCTTTTAAAATGATGTTACTTATCTTAACATTCGATATAGTTTAATGTTTATGTAAATCTTGAGATCCTATTCATTACATTTTTACCTTACTCTGAAAAAAAAAAACCAGAATATATTATCATTGTATACCTACTATAGGTGCTAAAAAATATTTATGGTACAAAATATTTGATGTGAATACAATAACGGATACTTAATAGGAAAAAGTTCAAATGGAATAGTTCAATTTGTATTTAAGACTTTAAATCAGTAAAGCTAAAGTGTTCTTACTTGTTCTTCCCACCTAACATACCCAATTGTTACTAAACTCTAATAAGCATAAGGCTTTACTGACAAGACAAAAAAAAAAAAAAAAAACAATTTTCACGCGCTTTAAATGGCAATTTTCCAGACGAGTGGAAGTGGGAACGCAAAAGATACACGCGATGAGCTCACATTTCATTGTCAATGGCCAAGCGTGAGCAAATGTTGTTGCTGTTGTTGTTGTAGCAGTAGTAGTCGTTGTTGTTGTAACTTGCATGCCACTGATAGTCGCTGGCTTTTAATGAAGTAATTGGTAAGATCAGCACAAGTCTAAAAAATACCAAAGTCGCAACATAAGCGAATGGAATGTGTGATTTACTATGGACAACGCATACTCTTCTTTATGCTCATAAAATAGTATGTATATACTATATATTTGTACACACAATAAAAGGTATACTTATGTGTAACAGAATTATTTGGTTTCCTATTTTTCTGCTTTTCATTCTATTAAGCCTTAATATACATATAATGTTTTTTCTGTAATTAGAGTCAAAGGCATTCGTGACAGAATAATGCATATCAAAAAACTTTTAAAAATTATTTCGTTAATATTAGGAAACGGTTAAAATGTCCGCCATATAATTTCTGGCTAAATTCATTAGAAATTTGTTCTACAAACCCAGTTATAAAGTAGATCTAGGTCCCAAAAATTTTTAAGAGCATGTTGAAGCTTTGTTTCAAGTAAAAAATTGTTAAATAATAATAAAGTGTCTGAAGTTAAGTCTAATGATATTAAAATAATTCGACACTCAAATTTCAGTTTCTATGGCATTCGAATTAAAAGTAGAAAATAAAAGCTAATTTTAACTGTAAAGTTGGACATGTGGGATCCAGTTGTTATACCAAAATTAGCAATAAATAAATATTTATAAAAATTATTATTGAATACAAATACAAATATTATTTGTCTAGATAGATAGATACATAGAACGTCAGAAGATATTAGAAAAGAGCCTATTTAAAATTCTTCAGCATAATAAATGCCCAAGAAACAGTTTTTACTTGCTAAACAAATTGTAACGTAACTATTTTGGGGCCAGACTAACTAATTAGTACACCAGTAAGTCTTCAAAGAAAGAGTTAGAGCATCGACTGATTTATAGAGAAAAAAAGAGAGAAAAAAAAAAACAAAGTTGACAAGTTGAGTCGTTTTAATTGCACCGAAAGTGTGCGGAAAGAGATGGGCGAAGAGTGAAAGAGAGAGGGAGAGAAAATGTCTGGTATTTGGTTGAGTATTTTTCTGAAGTTGGGTGAGGCATGAAAAAAGAAAGAAAGAGGAAGCCAGTTTCTCAGCGACTTCTTTTGGTGCGTTCGTTCCGTTTTGATGGGGGCCCATTTAGAAAGTGTCTGCAGATTTTTTTCTTTCCATTTAATTTTTTTATTTTGGATTTAACTGGACTTGTTCGTCAGTCTGGGGCCCTACAGCAGCTTCCAGTCACGTGTCAGGCCATAAATATCTCGAAGAAGACATTGTGTTTAGCCAGAAATGGAATGCCAACAAAGTTTGCATTTTAGCATTTAGCATTTGCATTTGCTTAGCTCAGTTTTTATGGCCCGAACGTGTGGATCGAGGCGCCGCTGTTCTACATGCAGACGCAGCTCTATATATATGTATATGTGCATTGGTATGTCTGTATCTTGTTATAGGCATGTATTGCTTCATACTTACTCAATTCGTTTGTTCTGATTCTGATCTGATCCTGATAGCGCCGACGACTCAGTTGCACTGCCTCTGGGGTGCCCACCTCCTGCAGCTTCTGGGCGGTCATCGAGCCAGGCGCCTGATCTGATTGATAGCCCTCCTGCAATAGTGTGAGCGGAGCATGAGTGTGTGTGTGTGCTTGTGCGTGTGTGGGTGTGGGAGTGTGAAGGAGCATATGAAAGTTGAAATTGAAATGATGCAAAAATTGAATCGTATCGAAGCGAATTGTTGCATATGCCACTAAGGGCAACCAGCTCCTTGTAGTGCCTCCCTCTTAGTCGCTTTCAACTTGGCTTTTTTCCACGCGCGATTTTCATGGCCTGACCACGTAAAGTCATATAACTCGTACATATGTAGGTACATATATGTACGACCATATATATATGATGACCAGCATATACCAGCATATACCCTGCAAATCGTTTAGCATGAGGTATGACTTCTTTCTATCAAAGTTAATATAAATTTTTTTTAATATCTTTCTTAAACAAATTAATTAATTAATTATAATTAATATAATATTAACAAATAATTCATTAATTAATTCATTACTTGAAATTTATATCATTGAAATTAAAATTCAGTTTTAAGAAAGATAAAATCTGTATATAGAAATTTCTACTGTTCGTGATTTGTAGTTGAAAGCTTGAATCGATTCAATCGATTATATTTTACAGTATGTTTTCTGATATTCTGCTCTTTCTTTCCATCCTCTCATTTAAAGATACATCTCATCAGCTTACAAGGCATCTGGCAGTCGAGTCGACCCTGTCACAATACGCACATTGTTTTTCTTTCGATTTTATTGGATATCGGGTGGCGGTTTTCATTATTATTATCGCACTATTCCAATATGTTGGGCAGCATGAAACATTTACAATTTTGCAGATATATGTAATATATACAAAAGATATATATATATATCCATGCAAGTATAAATGGAAATGTGTAAATTGCGAAATGTGTGCCAAACGCAAAGTGAACTAAAGTACATGCCAGACAGGCATATGTGAGTTTATTGTAATTTAATAGATCATTCGTTTCTTGGAAACTCAAGAGACCGAAAAACATGTTTGTTTTTTGTGAAATAAATCATATTTTGCAATTTTCAAATGGATGCAGACGTTAAGGCATGTCGAATGTGCCTGGTGTAATAATTTGGATAGTAAATGTATGAAATAAATAATGGATTGGATTCAGTTGGGTGGACTGAGAAGGTTGTTAAACATATATTTAAAAAAATTGGTATGTTTAGTGAAATATCGATTTTAATTTCAATTATTGTTTATTTTAATAAAACTTGATTGTATTAAATCGTTTTATAAACGTATCATAAAGGATACTTAGTTATTCAATTGACTATGCTCTTCTGCTGGTATTGAATGAAATATTTTATAATATAGTATATAATATAGATAATAATTATATAGATTTTCCATCTGCTGAAAATTCTTTAAAACAAAGTAATGCTGATACGAAGTAATTGAGTTTTTTTATTTATTTTTATTCTCTTCTTTGTTTTACAAAGAAAAGATTAGCAACTTATGGTTTTTCAACGGAAGTACTTTTGCCGTTCCGTTTCAACTGGCTTAAGTTTTGTGTAGAGAAGCTCGAAAATTTTTATGAACTAAAAATTATATATTTCCATTGAAAAAAAAAAAAAAAAATAAATAAATAAAAATAAAATAGTATCGGAGTTATTAAACCTATAAAGTCGAAATATATTTCAATTATTCTATATACAACAAATTAGTCTTCAATTGAATTTTAAACAATTGGAAATGCTTTGAGGCACTTTTTCGTTAATATTTAATATTTTTGCGTAGATGTGTTTATGTTGTGTTTGGCTCAATTAAATTGGACTCATTGATTCAATTTTGAGCAATTTAAATTTATACACACATGAATATATTCATATGTGTATGTATACATATATTTATTTATACATATTGTGCCAAGCTGCCATCAATTAGAGGGTCTATTGACATAGACCTTTATATATGTATGTGTATATACGGTGTGAATAAGAGAGAACAAATTTAATTGAATTTTTGCATCTGATTTATGCTGTGTATTTTGTCATTGTGTGTGTGCTCTGTGTGTGTTTCGTGTTTTACGCAACAGTTTGTGATTTAACAGATTTTTAACACGTAGCACAGAGGTGTGCGAATTTGTATGATAGCCACAAAAGCGCAAAGCCAATATTTGACTATGAGGTGTGCACGACTAGGTGTTGCCCTGGAGACAAAGCTTAAGCTTACCATGAATTAAATAAATTGGTGTCTTGAAAGTAAGACGGGACGTATAGAGGAGAGAGCTATTAATGATTAACTAAGGTAAACCAAAGTCTACTTTCTAGAAATTTGTACTATCAAGCAAACACGTTCAGTATAAAAATATTCTTAGAACTTTCCGAATATTTTCTTATGACTTCATATATAATGTTCTAATAAGATCCTATAAAAAACAAGTAAGAACGTTGCAGTCGGGCGTTACCGACTGCGGAATACTCATTCACATCCCATCAACAATTTATTAGTTAAGTTTCGCTCTAATACTATAGAATATACAGTTTTTTTCGATTTGCCACGCCCCTACTGGGCGTAGGCTCCTCATTTTTAGCCAGTTCTTAGAACGAGAAACCGGTAACCTAAATGCAAATTTTGAATTCTTACGCTCAAAAAATGTGAAAATTACAGGGTATTTTTCGATATGCCACGCCCCTAAAGAGGCGTAAAAATGATTTTTTGAGGCATCGATAGAGGAGGCTACCAGTAACTCAACTATCAAAATTTAAAGCTAGTAGCTATTATACTTTAGGAGATATAAACTTTTGCGGTTTGCCACGCCCCCTGTAGGCGGACATATATCCGACAAAACTTTTTGGTCTTGGGTGATTAACCCGAGTATATATACAAAATTTGAGGTCTCTGGCATCAATAGTGTCCAAAATAAAGCAGAATATAAAAAATCACTATATCTTCAGGTCCGATTTGCCACGCCCCTAATGGGCCTAGGCTTATAATTTTGTTTTCAAACTTTAAAGAATCAGAGCATTAGCTGACGTGCAAAATTTCAGCATCCTAGGTTTACAACTTTAGGAGATACAGTTTTATCCGATTTGCCACGCCCCCAATGGGCGGATATATATCCGCCATAGCTCGTGATCTTGGGTGGTCGATGCGGATCTATATTCCAAATTTCAGCTTTCTAGCTCTTTAACTAACATGATTTCTGGTATATCGGAAAATGCATTTTCCGATTTGCCACGCCCCTAGTGGGCGGATCGGGAAAATTTTAACACTTTATAAATCGGAGATATACACGAGTATGTGTTCCAAATTTCAAGTCTCTAGCTTCAATAGCGCCGAAATAGATTGCGTTCATACGGACAGACGGACAGACGGACGGACGGACAGACGGACAGACGGACGGACAGCAAGACGGACATTGCACAAAACCAATATACTGATTCACTTTCGTGAATGAGTATAATCATGAAATACATTCATAATTAGTCACAAACTTGATTATTTGTATACTCATTCCTCATCTCTCCTGCATAATCAGTCGATCTATTTGAAATTTGCATTTACAGGGTATGTGGCTGCGTTTAATAACAATTGGAGCACTGGTGAGCATAAATGTGCAACACCTGCGAGCAGGTGAAAATGCTATCACTTACAGCTCAAAGAGCGGAGAATATATATACATATAGTACATACATATATAACTATATATGTAAATGTATATACATACGTATATATGTATAAAATAATAAAAATGGTAACTGTAAAAACTTGAGCAGCGCTCAGATATTGATTTTCGACAAAAAGCACTCGCGCCTTGGACCTGAGTGTCATGAAAACTAACGACATGCATATAACTGACACATAATGCCACATTCAGAAAAGGAGAGAAAAGGGCGCAGAGGGACAGAGAGAGAGAGAGAGAGAGAGAGAGCCGGAGACAGAGACAGAGACAGAGGGTAATAAATGAAGTGTGCATGTAAGAATAATGGCATTCGCTGTTTGCTTGCTCCTTGCAAAGGACATGTATCGCATAAACCAGTCAGGCACGGTGTTAAGTGAAATGCCCAACGTCCTGGGCAATGGAAATGCAATGGGAGCTGGCTGGAGCAGCAAAGGCGTGACAGCATGTGGACTGAAAAGAAGGAGGGGCAGCTCCCGGCTGCACGGAACAGCTTTGTGGTTTGGTGTAAAGCTTCATTTTTACAACTGTTGAATTGAGCTGGGAATATATTTTAAAGAGGCAGAAAGGGAGAAGAAGGGGGAGAGAGAGAGGTAAACATAATATGTACTACAAATTTAAGAGAATGATAGATTAAGCATATATGCTTTATATGAAAGTAAGTCATAGTACAAAATAAGAGGAATGCGGAGAAATCGTTTAATCGATACCTATCTACCTATCATTGCATATATTGATCTATCTGTCTAGATATTTATCGATAACTATATATCTATGATCTTCATACTAAGCTATCGATCTCTTTATCCTTAAATATCTGTGTTTTTCTCTCCCTAATTGATCTTCGTTGCTGCTATATCAAAAAAGCAAAAGAGATAAGCTACAACTCAAAATAACGTTCCACAGTATTTCGCTGCATTTCTTTTATTATATATTACACACACATATTTTATAACCTCAGAGGGTTCTCTTAGAGTTTAAATACTTGCAACATCTTTCAATGCAATTCTTCTAGCGATGAGGTTTACATTCAAAGTCTTCTATGATCTCTACCTACTCATTTTGCTAACAGTTCTTATTTTGAGTGCTTCGTCCTCTCACTGTAATTCTCATAGAGAGCTGTTCCATTGCATTGGCTTTTTAGCACTTTTCGTACATTGTCTAACTCTTTGGTCTGGACATGCTTTTGTAGCATTAGCCCACACTGGGACACACACTCAGCTCATCTCCCCAACTCATTGAAGCTGACGGTGGCAGCTCCTTTCGGTTCGTTAGGCTACTGCCAAAACAGACCAGAGCAGTAGAGCAACGGAGCAAAGGCAAAGGAGAACTGTGTGGAGCGCATCGTACAACACCTTTTCATGTTCTTTTATGCGCTTCGGCAGTTTT